CCTGACTCCGGGCCTGACCCCCCGGGCCAGGCAGCACTGCCCGCATCACCACGGAGAGGGGGACACAGAGTCCTGTCTGCACCGGCTTCTCCCCCGCCCCTGAGTCATGGCAGTATTTATAGATGCTGCGGGGGCAGGGAGCAGTTGCTAAGACAGACAGGTAAATAAAATTGAGCAAATACTTGAAAGGTCACCTGTTTGGAGATAAGTAGTAGTACACGGGAAACATGCATCCATTTAGAATCAGAATGATCATCCTGGGGCGCCTCCCTCCGCCCTGCAGGGAAAACCAAACCCAGACGGTAGGCTGGGGACCACCCCTCCCACCCCCCCCCCCGCCCTCCACTTCTGTCCCCACATCGCCCACCTCTCTTCTCCCAGCCCCCGATGCTGCTGTCAGGCAATGGGTTTCAATGTCAAAAAGGGAATAACGTAGCAGCTCGTTAAGATGCTCCCTTAGTTTTTGCTCTCAACACTAATGAACAGGCTGTTAGCCAAATCAATTTGTTGGGGATTGGGAACAGCGGGGTCCCCAAAACCAAAACATTGTTTTGCATGTAGGCTCATATGTAGTAACTCACTACCAGCTTGGGTTAAAAACTCAATCACCTGAGACAGACACTGGCAAAGGGTACTGGCTCCCAAATGCTGAGCCTGTGGGGGACCAGGACCCCAGGTCTAGTTAAAGACCGCAGGCTTTCTGTTCTCAGGAGGATCTGTCCACCCCTTAGCCGGTTAGCTCAGGTGAGGTCCGATCAGAACAGAGACTCGGGTGAGGCATCTCACGAGAGGAATATGGGCTTCAAGATCACAGATGACGGAAGAGAAGAGGATCCATAGGGGGAAGGGAGGCACGTGTTCCCCCAGGAGGGGCCCCCCTCTGGAGCAGGGGGCAGTTGGGGGGACAAAGGGAAGAGAAGGGGTGACCGCAGAGCCCGAGGGCTGCCACCCAGCAGGAGCTGGGACGCTGGAAGGAGGGGCGGGGAGGCTGCCTAGGGTGGGGGAGATGAGGGGAGGGAAAGGCGCTGCGGGCGACTGCCATGCTGACCCAGGAAGTCTGGGGGTGGCCCCCTCCCTGATGAGCTGCAGCACATCAGGGGCAGGCGCACTTAGAAAAAGGGGTGCTGCCCACACGGCCCGCCGCCTCAGCCAACATGCCGACTCCATTCTCCTGTGGCTTCCGGCCTGATAATGCCCCCTTCATGCATCTTCATGCGGCCATCATGGAGACCTCTCATAGCCTCGCTAGGACTCATTTCACTTAATGGGACGAATTTCTAAGAAGGGCATGATTTTATGGCACACCTGGCTCCCATGAGACTCTGGGCCAAGAATGCTGAGCCAAGTAAGGAAGGAAGCCAGCCGCACGGCAGGCCCGCCTTGGACCACTCAAGGTAGGAAACAAGCCTCCTGCAGGCGGAGACCATCGCCCTGGCCCTGCAGCATGGATGGTGCACAGCAGAGAGGGCCGCCCACCCGGGGGGCACGGCAGACACCCTGAGTGACATAACCCCAAGTCCCAAGAATCAGGGATGGCTTCACCCCAGCTGGCTGTACCACAGGCGGGGTGATGAGGAGCTGTTTCTTAGTAATAACTTGTACTAGGAAAGCTATGACCAACCTAGATAGCTTATTAAAAAGCAGAGACATTACTTTGCCAACAAAGGTCTGTCTAGTCAAGGCTATGGTTTTTCCAGTGGTCATGTATGGATGTGAGAATTGGACCATAAAGAAAGCTGAGCGCCGAAGAATTGATGCTTTTGAACTGTGGTGTTGGAGAAGACTCTTGAGAGTCCCTTGGACTGCAAGGAGATCCAACCAGTCCATCCTAAAGGAAATCAATCCTGAATATTCATTGGAAGGACTGATGCTGAAGCTGAAACTCCAATACTTTGGCCACTTGATGTGAAGAACTGACTCATTTGAGAAGACCCTAATGCTGGGAAAGATTGAAGGTGGGAGGAGAAGGGGACGGCAAAGGATGAGATGGTTGGATGGCATCATCGACACAATGGACATGAGTTTGAGTAAACTGTGGGAGCTGGTGATAGACAGGGAGGCCTGGAGTCCTATAGTCCATGGGGTTGCAAAGAGTCGGACATGACTGAACAACTGAACTGAACTGAGGAGCTGAAGCTGAACACTGATCACCCTAAGACACATCAGTGAGCTGCAACGGGCCAAAGAAGAGGCTCGTGTGTCAGCCTGGGGAGTGAGTTTGAGAAGGTCTACAGAAAAAGTCCTTGCATACATAAGCAAGGACTCACGATATCAGGAAAAGCTTCGTGGGAGAAAGACAACAGATCCAGGCAGTGAGCTGAGACAGCCACGTGAGAATTCCGAGCAGAACCAACCGGGTCAGATGATACCTGCTGAGATCAGAAACACAGCAGAGAAGGGGGACCTGAGGAGGTTCTCAGGGAAACGCGTCCAGCTAGCCGAGACACCAATATAAGCTTCCCATCAGCGATTCCCCATTAGTTTCTCAAGGGGTGTCGTGGTGAAGAATCTGCCTGCCAATGCAGGAAACATGGGTGCAATCTCTGGGTCAGGAAGATCCCCTGGGGAAGGAAACGGCAACCCACTCCAGAATTTCTGCCTGGAGAATCCCATGGACAGAGGAGCCTGGCGGGCTACACTCCCTGGGGTCACAGAGTCGGATACGAATGAGCACGCACACACATACAGGGCTCCCACACAGCCCCCAGCGTGACCCCTGCTGCTCTCTGAGCCAAGCCCGCCACCCGGGGTCAGCCCCAGGAACTGTGGGCCTGGACAGGCATGCTCTGTGTGAACGGGGCGCATCCGTGAGTGGAGCCCCGCACTGAATGAAGTCTTCTGAAATTTGGAATTGCTGCCCATAGGTGATTTACTGTTAAGCACTTCTCCCTGGGATCTTGCATTTCTAAAAATACTATTTGCTTTTTATTTAACACTGAGCCTCTTAATGTTCTGGAATATAAAAATAGTGTCTTATTATTTTAAAAGCTTAAGAGAGAAACTAGCCATATTATTAGAAAAAGAAGATATATGCAGCTATAGTCTGTTCAAATATCAAGAGGTGTGACTTTTCAAATTCACATTTCAATCTTTATTTACATAAGACTTTTAGAAATAGTGGGTGTAAATATTAAATCACCCAAGCCTGGGTGAAATTTTATTGAGAATAACTACAAATAAAGGGAAACTGATTTTTTAAAGTCACTTTCTGAAAATTTAGATGAAAAGAATATTGAGCATTAGTGAAAAAAATGATATATTTACATATCAATATAGGTTTTCCACGCACAGATTCATCTCCTAGGAAACATACAGAGGCAAGCTTGGGGAACCACAAGGGAAGGAAAACCCTAATCAAATAGGTGCTGTTGTTCAAACAGAACATTAGCTTAAATGATCCAATCAGCTGCTTGAGCCAAATTTTTTTTTCCTTTAAGCTGTTCATGCCAGAAGACAACCTCTTGGAGCATTAAGAATCCGTATTACGTTCCAACTGTTTGCCCAACAGATGGGGGATTTGAAAGACACATTCCATGGAAATGGGACGAGAACTAGGAAGGTTTCGAGTTAGTCACCAGCAATAATGCACTTTACCCATAGTGGGGTCATAATATTAATTATCAAAATCCAGGGCACGTTTGGCAGTTACATGAATCAACTGAAATACAGTAAGTTGCTGGATCTTTGGTTTCAACATTACTCAGGATTACTGGTAGCTCAGTCGTTGAAGAATCACCTGCAATGCAAGAGACCTGGGTTCGATCCTTGGGTGGGGAAGATTCCCCTGGAGGAGGGCATGGCAACCCACTCTAGTCTTCTTGCCTGGAGAATCCCCTGGACAAAGAAGCCTGGCGGGCTACAGTCCACAGGGTCTCAAGAGTCAGACATGACTTAGCAACTAAACCACCACCACCTCCACACCACAGAATACAACATGACCTGTGGAAATTCTCCTGAGGACGGAGGACCAAAGTAGGAAGGCATGTCTCCACGGGTGGGTCCACCTGGCCTTGGTCTTCGTACTTGTCTAAGGACGTCAGGTAATCAGAGAGCCCCATGGTGACTGGCCTTTGTTTAAAACAAAATCACTGCCTCCCCCTACAAAACAGTCACCTACAATGCACGAAGTGAAGATTCTGCAATTTACTGACTCAAACTTTTGCTTATCAAAAGCAGCCCTGTGTTTCCTCTGAAGATCTTTACGAGGAAATCCTGAAAATACTCACACACATACACACAGACGCTCCTGGTCTCTGTGTGGAAATTATACACAATTCTATTTTATTGCAGTATGAAGACTGCAAGCTTGAAATAAAAAAAAAAATTATAGAGGTTTCAAAGCTATTAACTTATTTTTAGAACAAGCCCAAATTTAGGAACAAAGGTATCATGATGCTAATGTGAAGGACAGGGAAGCCTCGCGTGCTTGCGGTTCACGGGGTCGCAGAGTCGGACACGACTTAGGGACTGAACAGGAACAACAACGACACTTCATGATTTTCTGCCCAGCACAGGGGACTGAGACTCTGACTCTGGCAACATTAAGCGTCCCATTCCTTGGAATTAATGGTGTGAATGCTGTGTTTCTCCTTCTGGAACTTGTGATTTATGTGAAGTGTATGCAAATAGGAAAGAAAAGCTTAAGGAGGGAAAAGAAAAAGCAACACTGATCCCTATTTGGCTGACTAAATGAGTTAAGGTTATTTGTCTAAGATGTCCTCAGATTAGTTCTATTTTAACCATTTCCAGGACCTGTTCCCTTCTCTAAAGCCTGTTTTTAGAAAGAATTTAAAATGTATATTCAATTTGTAGTCTCAGTCTCAAGCTGGAAGCAAATCAGTTTGGAGCCGAGTAGAATGCTAAGAAAATCAACCTGCACCTTTTAATTTACATCCCTAGTTCCTTAGGAACGAAACAGCCATTTCTACGACCCTTGTTCTACATATCCAGGATTTAAGGACAGGTCTTTCACGTCACAGCAAGCAGGGGAACGCACTTACAGACTCTCCTGCGATGCACCTCGGGCAAGGCTGGGCCCGGCTCCTTCCGCCATCCAGAGGACCCTGTCCAACAAATCACAGCCGCGGATGAGCCAGGGCAGCAGTTATTCATACTTTCACTGAACAGGTAAAGGCTGGTCTGGTGGGAACAGGAACCTACCCCCGTGCCTGGCTGGCCCTGGCCTCTGTTGGGCCGTGGTGAGGGCAGGCGGCCTCTGCGCTGGGCATCGGGGGACTCGGGCTCCTCGCTGCCCCCGGACGCTGCGATGCACACCCTCACCTGGGGGCAGTCCCGCTCGGGCGCCGCGGCGTCCAGCCTCCTGCACGCCCGCTTCTGCAACGACAGTTTCACTTTAGATAGCCTCAGAAAGCACGCAGCGCTCTGACTGAATCTGCCTCTGAGCACCTCGCTGCAAAAACAGAGCCCCGAGGAGCCTGGAAAGTTTATAGGACATTGGGAGAGGCAACTTCCAACTTTATCTTCTGGGAATAACCACCATCAGTTACACTTAACCTCATTACTTCCAGCACAGTCTGATATTTACTTAGCTTTACAAGTTTAAAATAGTCATTTCAAGCAATTTTGGTCAAAATTCTTATAATAAACTGTTGTGACTGGTTTATCGATATCGAGAATGTACAAAGCCTATAAATTTTTGTTCAAGAAACTACTTATGTGCTTCGATACTTTTGCCAAGTAGGTACTTTCTTAATATGATATGAATAATTCCACGTGGGTAATTCTTTGTCTTCCTGACACTGAAGAGTGGACTGATTTTATTTATTTCACAAACTGCACACACAGCCCATAAGGGATAACCTTCCGGAAAGGCAGCATTTGGCTTTGGCATTCCCATGAACTAAAGATAAATTACAAAAGCAGTCTTCCAAAGCTGAAGGAAACGGCTGACTCTCCAAGTTCCAAGTCTGTGCTCCTCGGGATAAGGATGTGTTCAGTGACACAGAGCTGATGGGCAGGCGGCCTCTGCAGGGGACAGAAGGTCCACGCTGTCCCGGATCCCCGCTGCTGGACGGTGCCCGCCAGAGTCAGGAAACACCCCTGGTTCACGGGGGGTCCCACACCCTCCGCGGTCACCGGCAAACCATCGTTATGATTTGTGCCAAATCTGTTCACGATCCATTCCATTATTCATTCATTATTTTCTAAGTGGACTTTTTATTTTATGGATTTACCTAATAGGGAACCCCGGTAGCAAGTGCTAGCTTTACTCTTCCCTAACTAACACGTCTTAGAATAGACACCTGAGGAGGAAAACGGCAAATTCTGACCTCTGAGCCCCTAAACCAGAGAATAATGCCCTGGGGTGAATACAGTGCAGACTCTGGGCGGCTGAGACAAGGGCAGAGGTAGCCGGCCCCGCCCCCAACGCCACAGTCCTTCCTGAACACAGAAGTCCAGAAAGGTCACAGTCACTGCTGCAGAGCCACAGCCCGGGCACAACCTGAATCAGAGAATGCAGACATCTGAGAGCGCGGCGGGGGAGAGAAAAGGCACCAAACGCCGGCGCGGGCCCCCCTCGCGCCAGCCCACACGCTGCAACATGGCCCTGCCCTGAGAAGGGCAGGAGGGGACGCTGTGAGCGGGACAGGCCAGGGACGCCAGCAAGGGAAGCGTGCCCGGGCCTGCAGCGAGGAAGAGCCCGAGCCCCAGAGCCGAGACGCCAGCAGGGGTTCCAAGTCCACACGGCGGGAACGGACAAAGCCTCACAGAGGTTCCTCCGAACCCAGCTCCTGGGAGGGACACGGGCAACGGGGCGGGCGGGCGGCCCGGGGCCGGGTGGTGGCGAGAAGGAGAGAGAGGGCAAGCTTGGGGCCCAGCAAGGGAGGATGCCCATCATACCAGGCGGCTCACAGCCACCCCGTCCACCACCAGACAGACACCTCCTCCACCTGCGCTCAGCCACACCAACAGCAGAGGTGCCTGATAGCAATCTTTAAAAAATACCCCAAAACATAAAAATTCCTCGTGAAAAAGACAAGAGTCAAAAGGAGATTGTAAGTCTAACACTCTTAAAAACATAATTAAACATTCAAAGATCTGAGGACACGAAAAACCACCCTGAATTAGCAATGTAAAAGTAGAGAGGACAAAAATGGGGAGAAACCAAGAAGAGACCTGAACGAGTTCAGGGACGTAATGAGGGAAATAAGGAATAAATTATAAAATGCACTGAAGAGGATAAATTCAAGTGAAAACTAATAGAGGACACCAAAGAAGGGCAGGAGCATAACCAAGGGAAGGAAAACGACATAAAGAAAAAACGGGGGTTAAAAAAATGAAGCAGCAGGAAGGGAAGACAAAGAAGGAAGAAATGTTCCCTAAGTCAGAGCTCTGGAAAGAGTAAAACAAAGTAACACAGCAAAGCTAACTCAAAACCACAACTGGAGAAAACTTCACGGAAAGGGAAAACTGGCTGAAGCTTAAATTGACAAGGCTCACAGGGTACCTGGGAAAATTAACCCAGAATGATCAACACTGAGACATCCTAATAAAACCAGGAGACTTCAAAGATGAAGACAAAATCCTCAAAGCCCCTGGGCGCGCAGATCAATGAGAGAGAGTGAAAAGGAACTGGACAGGCATCAGGCTTTTCAAAGCCAACACATAAGTGAGACAATGGAGAAACATGCTTTTAAAACTCAGTGATAGAAAACATGAACCAAAAATTTAAAATCCACCAGGCTGTCCTTCAAATATCAAGATTACAGAAATAGAATTTCAACATACATGAACTTAGAGATAACTACACCCATGAGCCCTTCCAGAGGATTCTATGTGAGGGTAAGCTTCATCTAACTAACCAGTGATGACCGGGAAAATTCCAGCATAAGGATTTTACGTAAGCATCTGAAGGTATTAAGATGTACATCTCAGACTAAATTTAAAATAAAGGTGGAATTAGGCTGACAGACAAATGTGCAAATATTACATCCTCTGATATGGTGGAAATAATTCTACTAAAACACGAGAGATGAAGGGAGAGGGAAAGTGGAAAAATTCTTTAGTACAGGTCAATACTGTACAAGTGACAGTCGTGTATCAAAGGGCACCACGAAAAAGATTAGTGAGTGTTAAATGAATGAGGGAAAGACAAAATCAGCATGAGGTAAACACACAAGTAAAAAATATTTTAGGCAAGATCTACTAATAGATGCTAACTCAGAAGGCAAAGGCTTAAGGAGAAATATGCTTTCTCTCCCAAGGTATTTATTAATTTATAAAGTTTCAGTTTTATACATCAAACTTTTACATAAAGTTTCAATGTATATTTTCATGTTTCAACATATCTCCCCCAAGGTATTTATTAATTATAATAAATAATTATAATAGTTATAATTTAATTTATAAATTAAATATAATTTAAGTGCAGTTTCAACATATCTCCCCCAAGGTATTTATTAATTAAAAAGAAAAGACCAGTAACTTCACAGAGTATGAAACCATCTTCATCCAGAGACAAGGTCAGCATCACAGTAATGAGACGTCTTGACATCACAGCCCCCGTAAGATGCACTAAGAAAGCATGACATCACCTTGTGATACTCGTGCCAGAAAGGGTGTGGTCTTAACCTCATCACAGAAGATGCTGGACAACCCAAATGGACTGACAGTCTTCTGCCAGATAGCAGACCGCTGCTCTGTAGAAGTTCCAGGGTCAAGAAACCAAGGACGAGTCAGTGACTAGAGAGGTGAGCAGGACTCAGCGCAGTGTGGGGTCCTGGAAGGATGCATCAATCACTAGAGGAGTGAACAAGACTCAGTGCAGTGTGGGGTCCTGGAAGGACGAGTCAGTAACTAGAGTGAGCAGAACTCAGTGCAGTGTGGGGTCCTGGAAGAGATCCAGGACAGAAAAAGGGTGTTAGTGGGAAAACTGGTGAGGCTGGAGTAAGGCTGGAGCTTGGGCGACGATCGTGCACGAGGTGAGCCTGGGAGTCTGCTGATCGTACTATGACCATGTATGTTGCTCAGGTGAATTCTCTGTATTACAGTTGCTTTTTCCCAACCTTTCTGTAAGGCTAAAACTACTTGGAAATGAAGTTTTAAAAATGAAGATAAAAAACCTCCTGCACTTGCTCTGGTGTATACCACACGTCTAGAAATACGGATGGAAGCCAAATCACCTTCCCACGATCCTAATTTTTCCCTCTTGAGCGACATAAAGAGTGACGGGTGTAAGACAAAAGTCCTTTCCCATGTGTGAGGACAGCTCTCGGATACCTCTGAGGCTGCTCTCCGACCAAGCATTCCTGCTCTCTTTCACTCTCCCATGTCTGAGAGGCTTTCCAGAATCTTCCTCTTCTAGACACCATGTCCTAGAATTTCTAAATTGTCATTATTCCTCCTGAAATGAACCATGTAAAATATTCCCAACACGCTGTCACCACCACGGAAGAGAGCAGAGCCCACCCCCCCACCTCCACGGCATGGTCCCGAGTCTGCAGGGAAAACACCCTGGCTGAGGGGCCCCAGCGACCTGCCAACCAGGTCAACCTGCCACATGAGGCTGGCACACCCCCCCAGCTTACGTCTCCCCCTCAGGAAGCACCACCCGGTCCTGGGGACTGCTGAGGGTCCTTCTGCTTTAAATTTAATGCCAGGCTCTGCTACGTAAGCCTTAAGTTTAGTTTCCAAGACTTACCTGATTTCCTTGCTTTTTTCCAGTGTATCAAAGTACTGCCAAATACTGCCATAATCATACGAATCACCTTTGTGATTGGAAATGGTGCCGCCTTCCGTGTTCCGCCTGAGTCGGATAGAAGGGTTGAGGAAGAAAAGACCAAGGACTGCAAGCTCCGGTCACTCAGCATCTGCTCAGCCTTCACAGTGCAGAAAGAGGCATGCTGTGTAAAGGGGTTTCCCGCCAACTCCCGACCATCTGGGCGGGCCTTGCCTGGTGGCCCAGCATAAGCCCCTGCGCGAACACCACAGGGGGCCTTAGTTGGATGGCGGGTTGGGGAGCAAAGATCCTGCATGCCACGCGGCGTGGCCACAGAAAATCCAGGCAAAGGGAAGTGGAGATACTGAGCACGCCCCACATCATCCACACGCAGGATGCGACTCTCCTCCCGCAGTCACATCCCAGCCCCACACTCCTTTCTGAGGGACGTCGCTTGCCAGAAAGGAGAGAGACAGGCGTGGACGGGTGACCGTGAGCAGGATCCTAGCACGCTTCTCGATGAGGTCTACACACTCTGTGTTTTTCAATGAGTTAGGATTCTAACTCCTTCTCTGTGGGGTCAAACAAGGCCTGGCACAACGGGTCAGCAGACCTGTGACCACCCACGGTGGACACTCCTCAAGAGGCTCTGGTG